CTTACAATTGTTTTATTTAATCTTTTCTAGAGGTCGGATTTTATATTGGTTTAATAATTGTGTGCCAATCGAACATTTGCATCCGTAATTATGTACTTATTTGATGAACTGATCAATAGGTTGAGAAACTTAGCCTAGGAATTTTCTGATCAAATAATTTAATCTTTTCGTAATTGATTGAATATTTGAATTGGATCTTTCTCGTGCTATATTTTATTGGAGAAATTAATTTATGGTCGTACCTGTATTATTTCTATGATTAGGAAAGTGGCTAATCATTCGTACGATTACCGCCAATAAATTAAGGAAAAATATGGGCGTTATGATCGTTGATTGAATCTTTAATCCGAGTTTTTATTCACTCATTGGGATAGATATTTAATCTCTTTAAAATCCAATTTTTATTTCCATCGCTTTTATCAATCACCTTAGTTGAATATCTGATTCTCCCGGCCCTCCTCACAATACTTGAATTTGTGACAAAACCTGAATTAAAACTACACAGTCCCTGTGGTCGACCTCGTCAGCGCTTGCTACGCGGCAATTTGGTGTTCGAGAATTTTTATTGGAAGCTCGGAAGATATTTGGATGCGTTATTTTCATTATGTCTGTGTGATATATTCTTCAACTGTATCACGAACTGTGTATAGTCTTGGTCTTGCTCACAGAAATAAATAATCTGGAGAGAGACACTAATTCCTCATTATTGAGCTAATGTTTTATTATATAGAATTATTTTATTGTCCTACATCTCGTTTTAATCGACACTCGCAACCGGTGAATTAAGCGATTAGTTCATTGGTCAACTTTTTACTACATATTTTAAGTCAAATTAAATCCAATGAGTCATTTTCGCAAGAGGTCTTGGTTCTTGCTAGCATAGCAGCATGATTTCCTCTCGGATTCATCTAACTAGATTATGTTGCTTTTAAATCAAAATTCATGGAACCTCGAAAAAAGATTATCTCAAGCATGTGTCAACCATTAATGATAATGCGATGAAGAATTAAGATATTTTTTTACTTTCTCAAAATTGAAAGTCATAATTACACTAAAAAAGCAATAACAGTTATGTATGTCCGTAAATTAAATGAAATGAGTGTTGGGCACTTGGCTGCTGTCACGACTATTTCCAACCACCCATTATAGGCGTTTGGATCTCGTTAGAACTTGATCAATTCTACTACAGATGTGATTTCTTATTTTTGGAATATTTATAAATGAACTCGAGTTGCATTCTATTTATGGGGTGATATTTCAATATTCATAGTTGCAAATATTGATATTTTGTGTGAGTAATATCATCATGATATATATCTCTATACAACATATTGTTCATAAGGTAAAAATTTAATATAATATAAAGTAGATACTATGTTACTTTAATTTCTCAATACACGGAAAAGAAAAACTTACCGCATTCTAAATTTTCTTGAACATTATTTTTATTTATGGCGTACTAGAATTCACCGAAATGCACATCATTTGGTTTCATCTTGTTCGACGGTCCGGTTTCAAATCTATATTTTTTCTTCTATCGACATTGGCGGAGAACATATAGTTCTCTTTTTTGGGTATGAAATTATTTGTTCTGAATTATAACCATGACCACTGTTGTACAAATTTTATATGTATATATACACCCTATTAAATTATGCACAAATGAACTATTTGCTTAATTATTATTTAGAGCAAATTATAGATTTATCTATACATCCAATCTCATCCATTGCTCTAACCTCCGATTTGACGGCTCCAAAACATTCAGGATGTCCTGAATCTTATATTCAGAACAATACGAGAACCATTCACCATTGATTATAGCCACATAATTTGTCTTATTTATGTATATTTGGAATTAGTTATTGATGCTAATCATAAAAGTAGTTTCATTCCTTCTACATGAATAATTTCACTTACTATATATAGAGAGTCGTGGTACTTAAATAATTTATTTCAACTTATATTTTGCATAGTTTCCACTTAATTACTAATTTCTACAAATTTTATTCATATTTACCAAAATATCCTCACATCTCACTCTCGATCTCACTAAATTATGGTATTTTGACCTTTTCATCTTATTTTACAAATCCACTCACTAATATAATAATATTAACTTTTTTTTAATATATTACAAATTCTTTTGAGACAACTTAAATGGGAAAAAGTTATTTCTAATATTAATGATAATGTATTTTCTAAAATAAATATATTATGTATATATATTCTACGGTAATATTATTCATTATGTTTGGAACACTACATTTATAAACTCATAGGGCTTTTTTGGTTTTGTTTTGAATTTAAATTTTAGTTTAGATAGTATTTTAAGATAGTATGTTATTAGGAAAATGTACGAATTGAATAAAAATGCTTTTCTTTTTTTTTTTTTTTTTTTTTTTTTATTTGAAATAAAAACAAAGAAACCTTAAACCATACACATCGGTTGGTACTCTTATGTGCGTGTCTGTGTTGGTGATCTAAAGATGAGGATATATGATAAGTGGCACCTGATCTCATGCAGGAAGATGAAAATGTGGCATCTTGTCGAACAATATATTTTTGGCATTGACAAATGCATAATATTCTTTATGCCTCAAGAAAAGGAAATTATCTTGTTTGGCCATACAATGTGTTTACATAGACAGTTGCTATTGTTTCTTCTCTGTGATTTAAACACAAACTACATTAATCAAATAATTGATGAAGTTGCTATTGTTAATGTTCTAATATTCTTCCTAGCAATTCGCATAATTGCGTATTGTCTTTACTAAAATCTAGCAATGAAGACTGAATTAGCATATATATATTTAAAATATTTGTATAAACTTGTCATTGGCTCATAGCTATAGCAATACATAAATTGAGTAATCCAGAATGTAAGAAACATAGAGACATTTGGAATTCCTTACACCATAATAAAAGTTTACATGCTACTTGGGATTCCTTTTTTTCATTTGAAATAACCCAAGACGACAAGGTAGAAATTCAAGTGAAAAGTGCCTCATTTCAAGAAAAGGTTTGCTTATATTCTGGATTCTAAATGACTATACCTAAGAAAGGAGTCTATCAAGCAAACAATCTGTTAAGTAAACCATCTATCACGACACCAAGGCAATTTTTGGCAAACAAACTTTTAATATCAAACCAAGCATCCAAATGATTAAAGCAAAGCTCAACTGTTGTCAACGACTATCTAGACGATCAAGCGAGTCCAATAGATTTACTATGATAGGATTTTTTCCCCTTAGAAAGACTTCCATTCTAAGGCTACCCAAACTGTGTATCAAGAGACTGTGAGTAAGATTAATACATTTGAAACGAAGGTTGATGAATCAATAAGATGGATGGATAAGATTTCTACAAAATTTATCATAGTTACACTAACTGACCAAAAGACCAGTGGATGCTCTGGCCCTAATGTCTATAAGTAGCGGCCTGATTTGCGTCATTTGTAATTTAAGTTCAGTCATTCTAGTAGTCAAGTGTAAAATTCTCTGCAAAGTTCAAACTATAATGAGTTTGATCTAGCAAACACGTTTAGAGGCCATATGTGGTAGAGACTCCACCATAGACTTCAAATTCTTCACTCGGAATTCTTTTATGACATATTACTACTTTATAATTTAATATAGTTGTTAATTTTTAAATTTCTTAGAAATAAAATATATATTTTTTTAAATCACCCATATCACTAGTGATCACAAATTCCACACTTACGCTTATGGTATTTAATTATGTTTGTTGGTTATGTTGCAGAAGAGCTAAATTGTCAATCCATGTCTTGTAATGTGCCAAAAATAATGTCTAAATTGTCACTAGTGAGCAAGCAATCGATAAACCTTATCAAACTCATAGGCATAATTTCACGTAAAATAAAGAAAAATAGCAAAATGATAGATAATTAACTAGATATAGGCAAAGTGTGCAAGATCGCAGCTATGTCCTAAGATAGAGGATGTCCTAGCTAATAATGTCTTAGTTATGAACTCAATGGTCCACATGCCCTTTAGATCAAGTACCAAAAGATCCAATAGTTTTCACTTAAATGACTAGTGTGACTGCACTCATTCTTTTGCTTAATCCATCCTTTACATATCTTCTCTTTTCAAGTCATTATCACTTCTACTTGGCAGGATTCTAAACCAACATTTAATCACTTTTTCCCTCATCATTAACATCAAAATTATATTACCTTACAACATTATCTCTAACATCCAGAAGCTCCATACAACAACACTAAGCTTATATATATATATATGCTTGATATTTCACAATCCATGATCACTTCATTCCTTGGTCATAATACTATAAACTTCACCAGGCTCACGCATTTCTACTTTTCCCGCTAAATTATGTACCATTAACCTCACTTAGACCTACTTTGTTGTTATCCTAGTTTGTTCTCAAGAAGATTTAAATTATGTTGCCTAGAATAACCATCTTAATTCATGCTTTATATTCATTAGACTCCAACATACTTTTATTAGAAATATACAACTTAAAATCTTTGATTTTGATCGATAAACTCACCTAAAAAATAGAATAAGCACATTATTTGGGAACCAATAAATTGAGCCACAAAAATGACATTATTTATTTCATATCTAATGCAAATAATAATCAATAATTTCTTGATTTTATGTACAATTCAACCGTATTACTCCAGCCTTTTCAATCAAGCATGTATAGATGTTCTATATATATATATATATATGTTTGTGTGTGTGCGCGCGCGCGTGTATGTTTATGTGCATATATGATGTTATGTATGTATGGATGTATATATCGTATATATGGATGTATGCATGTATGTATCGTATATATGTGTATTTGACGTGGATGGTTAGCTATGTCTAATTTTTTTTTTAATTTTATTATTATTATTATTATTATTATTATTATTATTATTATTTAATGAATGAGCTAATATAAATTTATGTTTCTAACGCTCATCTTGGGAACTAGAAAATTCAATTGTTTTTATGGTCGAATACAGGTGGGAAGTAGGACGCGCACCGCACCGCCTCACCGCCAGAGCCCCACCACCTAATCACCCTACTACGTCACCACTGGAAAGATTATATAAGAGATACCTACTGTTTCCAGAATCATCCTTGTTCTTTCTTACTGACCCACCCCAGCCCCAGCTCCAGCCCAAGGGTGAGTGTCCTCCTCCAATTTTTTATAGTTAAATTGCTAGATGTGTTCTCTAAGGATCTTTTTATTTTACTAGAGTTTTATGATTATAATATATGTCGGTGGGATCTTTATGGGTATTTAGAATTACAATATTTTTAATTTTCGATAAAATTTAAATTTTCTTCGTAGTCGATTGAAACACAATTGCATGTCTATTTTACTATAAATTTAGCCTAATTTTATGATTAGGTTATCAATTTTGAGCGTTGTTGATTGTTTTTTTTCTTTTTTTCTTTTTTTTTTTTTTAATATGCTATTATTTACTTATTTATTTACTTATTTGCTATTTGAGATTTAGTTGTTCCACATGTTTGGTTGCTTATTTACAATAAATTTAGCATAATTTCTAGATTAGGTACTCAAATTTTCCTTCTTGCATAGGCATCGCATTTATGGCTTCTGCTTATAATAGATTTTTATTTATTTTTGTTTTTCATCTCCATGATGTAGTTCTTGACTAGATTTTGATATCCTTTCGGGTTTTGCTAATAGTTGTTCATGGTGCTGTAATTTCAGAGTGGCTCGGAGATGTGTCTATAGCCTATACCCGAAGAATGAAGGAACACACAGAGAAATTTCATTGCTCTTCACAACCGAAATTATTAAGATAATGATTTCATAGCAAAAAGGCTTTCGCAACAAAATAAATTTTGTCGCCTATACCATATTGGTAAATGTCTTTGGCAACAAATTTGACTTTTGTAATGCAAGATAACGTTTTGCGATGATAGAAACAAGATATAGCTATAAAAATATGATTTTGTAGCTAAAGTTTTTTCGCTATAAAAATAAAATTTCATTTAAAAAAATAAGAAGGATTTTAACAACAAAATATACATGATTTTTGTAGTCAAATGGTTTTACCTATGAAAATATGATTTTGTACTTGAAACTCTTGTGCTATGAAAATAAGATCTTTGTAGCAAAAGAATTTTAGGGACACAAATAATTTTATAGTACATAATTATTTTTAGCGACAAAATTAATTTTTGTAGTTGAATGACACTTTCTAACTATGAAAAATATTCGGTAGTTACAAAATTCACAGAAAGGAGAAAGATCCAAGCACATGAGGGCAAAGGTAATAGTTTCTCATGGTTGCCTTCACGATTCTCATTATTTCTTCCAATTCCATGTATGGGTACATACAAACATAATACATTACATTTACCTCACTATGAAATAGGATCCCAGTCATGGATGTTGCTTTAGTACTAGTTGTGGAGAAACATACAAGAATTTTAATAATGGTTGGCCACAAGTGAATGTCAATAATCAAATCATCAATGATCATTGAGTCTGCAACAAGTCTTACTGTAAAAATGTCATTAACTTAGTTGAAACTTTTGAGAGCCAATTGAAATGTGGGACAAATGAAAATCCTGCCTCAAATGCTAGCAATAACAGTTTAAAATATTTCTTCAGTAGAACTTATCTTTGACGATATCCCATCTCAATAGCTCTTTGAATCAAGTATATGACGAAGAGAAGAGTCTAAATCATTCTCTAATGCACCTACCTTTTCTAGGTAATTTTTTTTTTTACTTCTTTTCTTTTTTATGATTATCAGATCTCATAAGAAAAATTATAATTACTTCATAATATCTATTCCTTTTATTCCTTGAAAAGATGTTATTGTTGACCAGAAAATCTTTAGGCTTTTCCATGATTCAGTATCCTTAATATATTTAATTTAAAGCGAAGATGGGTGTAATTACATTTCAAAATTGAAGGGTTATGAAAGCTAGCCCAAACAGTGACCTTTGTATTGTGGAGTTACAATTTCCCCATATGGAGGCCTAAAATGAGACTTTGTTGATGATGAGTTTTAAAGCAAATTTAACAAAGATTCTACAGCTTGTGATCTGATGAAAGATGAATAATATATGTAGGTACATAGGCAAGCCACTGCAATCTCGCAACTATATCTTACCAATAAATTGCAATCAACACAAAAATCAAGGATCATGAAATCAGTTCTACCAGATAAGTATGCAATCAAAACCCTGTAGTTGTTTTTTTTTTTTTTTTTAGTGAATAGTTCACGCATATGAGATAGCAATATTTTGTGTAAGCTTCTAAGTTTTTGCTTTGGACTTTTTCCATGTTGATTTATTTTTGGTTTAGATTCTTTTGAGTTTCACCTAGTGCGGTGGTGGGATGATACTCTACTCTACCTTTTTGTGGTTTTGGTGAATTTGTATAAAATTTACTTTCTAGAGTATTTTTTTTAAGCTTGATTGTGGTGAAATGGGTTAATTGTGGTGTAGTAAATTTCTTTAAACATATTACTATGTATAAATATTGAACCTTGATGGAAAGTTGGGGTCAACGTTACGCGTAAATGTTTTGGGAGGTAATGGTTGTCCTATACATGCGATCTAAATATTTATCTACACGGTGTATAGTTAATGCAGTATGCCTAAACTTCATACATGTTCATGTTTTTTCAATAATTTTTATTATTTTGTTTACTTTTTATAAATGCGATTCCAATATATGTATATTTTTGTTAACTTGGTTTGAATGTGATTCCAACAATATTTCAATTTGTTTTATATATAATTAATTACAACAATTTATAAGATTATTGTTGGTTTATTATAGGTTGCAATTGGAGATGGAGTATTTAAAGTCTACTAAGTTTGTGTAAAAGATAAATTTAGAAAATCAGACCCTGAATTCATGCTCTTGGGTTATTATCTCCTATTTAAGGGTTAGGGTGAGCTTGGAATGATAAGGCCTGAATCATATGATCTATACACTGACTGAATTTAACCATGAGCTCGGAATGGCCCTGAAGTCAATGGCCTCTTCTCATGCTTCGTATTCAAAAGTCACACGTCCTATCTTGAACATTTCTACCAAGTTCATTCTTTTTGTACCTATTTCATCTCTAATGGCTAGCATTTAATGCCTAATGATCAATATTTTTTTTCTATCAGGCTCTATAAATTCAACAACAACAATAATAGAATCTTAACTTTTTTTAGCTTTGCTCGAATATGATTTCGGTTGCGTTTTAATAGATGATGGCTATATATAACACAACTAAAATCACATTAGAGCAAAGCCAAAAAGGTTAGAAAATTCTATTATTGTTTCTGCTAAATGATATTACATAGCCTGATGGAGAAAAATATTGAGCAATAGGCATTATATGTTGGCCATTAAGGATGAAATAGGTATAAAAAGAATGAACTTAGAAGAAATATTCAATATAGGATGCATGCCTTATGAATATGAAGCATGAGTAGAGGCAATTTACTTGAGGGCCATTCTAAGCTTATGGTTAGATTCAATCAGTGTCTAGATCATATAATTCGGGCCTTATCATTTCTAGCTCTCCTTGATCCTTAAACACAAGATAATAAACCATGAGCATGAATTCAGGGTCCGAGTCTCTAAAGTTTCATAAATACAATCTTAGTAGACTTTGAATATTCCATCTTTGAAATGCAACATAAATACAACTGTAGTATAGAAAAAACCAACAACAATCTCATAAATTGTAATAATTAATTATATCTACAAAAAAATGAAATATTGTTGGAATCACATTCAAACACAGTTAACAAAAAACCATTTCTCTGAGAAACTCCGAAAACACAATAAGAAGGAACATGATGGAGTTTAGGCCGGTTGCATTAACTATACACCGTGTAGAATATTTAGATCACATGAATAGGAAAATTATTACTTCCATATAAACATTTACGCACAGCCCTGTCCCCAACTTTCCATCAAGCTTCCATATTTATATATAGTATTTTTTAAGATATTCATTTTTACCTCAATCAAGCTTAAAAACAATACTCTTGAAAGTAAATTTACACAAATTCATCAAACCAACAAATGTACAATAGAGCATCATCCCATTATCGCACAATGTGAAACTCAAAGAATCTAAACCAAGGATAAATTGACAACATGGAAAAAAGTCCAAAGCACGCAAGTAAAAGCATACAAAAAATATTGCTATTTCATATACAAGAACTATTTATCGAAATAAAATCAAACAAACAACTAGAAGGGTTTGATTGCATACTTGTCAGTTAGAATTGATTTCATAATCACTGATTCTTGTGTAGATTACAGTTTCTTGGTGATGTTGACTTGTAGGACTGTCGTGACTTGTCTATGTACCTTTGAATTAGTTATTATTCATCACATCACATGTTGTAGAATGTTTGTTAAACTTGCTTTATAACTCATCCAAAAACTAAAAACAAACTCTAATTTTAGGCCCCAATCTGGGAAATTCTATCTCCAAACTACATAGGTCACAGTTTGGGTTGGCCCTTCATATTCCTTATTTGAGATGTAAATTACACCCCTCTTCAATTTTATTTAAAAATATTAAGGATAGTGAGCTATGGAAAAGCCTAAAGCTTTTGTCGAAATATAATATCTTTTCAAGGTACACAGAGGTAAGATTTTGCATAGTATTTGGAAATTTTCTTATGAAATATGACGATCATAAAATAGAAAAGAAGTAAGAAAAAAATTAGTAATGGCAAATGTATTAGAGAATGATTTAGCTACTTTTTTTCACCATCTACTTGGTTCAGAGAGCTATTGGGATTAGATCACCTCAAAGATAAGTCCAACAGGGGAAATATATATTAAACTTGTTAGTGCTAGCATATGAGCCAAGCTTTTCAATTGTTCCACCTTTCAACTAGCTCTCAAATGTTCCAACCAAGTCCATGACAGTTTTTAAAAAAGACTTGTTGGAAACACAATGGTCATTAATACTTTAATTATTGGCATTCACTTCTGGCTGACCATCATAAAATTTCTTGTATGTTGTTTCACGACAAGTATTTATAGCAGCAACCACAGGTGGGGATCCTAATTCATAATGAACAAAATGTAGTGTAGTACCTATGTACGTACCCTTACATGGCACTAGAAGGAATAATGAGAATCATGAAGGCAACAATGAGAAATTATTACCTCCACCATCATGTGCTTGGATTCTTTTTCGTTAGTGTGAATTTTGTAACTATAAGATCACTATAAAAAAATATTTAATTAGCTACAATATTTTTAACTATGAATATATATTCATAGTTAAAAAGTGTTATTCAACTACCAAATTTAATTTTGTTGCTAAAACTAATTATTTACTAAAAATTTAATTTTTTTTCGCTAAAATTGTTTTTCTAAGAAATCTTATTTTCATTGCTAAAACCATTTGGCTAGAAATATCAGCCATTATTGTTGTTAATTTCTTTTTTATTATTATAGCGAAAGAGTTTTTGCTAAGAAATCATATTTTCGTAAATATATCTAATTTTCAAAGGATTATCTTGCATTACAAAAGTCAAAGTTGTTGCCAAAGACATTTACCAACACGGTACAAGAAATTAAACTCATTTCCTCGCAAAAGGCTTTTTTTCTAAAAAATCATTATCTTTTGCTACAATTTTTTTTTAGCTGAATTTCAACTTTTTTGTAGTGTATAGACATCTTGATGCCCTTGGTTGAGAGGGGTGAAAACACTAATTTTGTACATGTTTTCCTAGTGATTTCTATAAGCATATCTTGCAATTTTATACTGAACTTGTCATAACCTATGCCAAAATGCCTTGCTAAATGTGTTTTACATCATTCTTCTATGATTTGATACGCATTGGTAGTTTTGAAGTGTTTCAGATGCAAGATGAGGAAAAATATGAAAAAAAAGGGAATGTGTGCTGAAATTAATCCTGAATGCATGAGAAATATGTGAGCCAATTTTTTCTGATACCTAATCACAATTCAGAAGTTGTTTGAGATGCAAAGTTTTGTGAGGTAAGCTGTCTGTGTGAAAAAAGGGGCTGCATTGATAAAAGTACAAGTCTCAATCCGTGTCAAAATTTATCCTGACCGTTGATTAGAACTCATCTGAAGGATTGGACGGTGGAGAATCAATTTGCAGCTGTCAATGGCAACCTCCATCTTCTAGAAGCTTGGCCGACACCTATAAATAGGATCCAATTCGGAGCTCATTTCTCAAGATTTCACAATCTAAAATTCGTATCTATTTCAGAAAGAGCTCAAGTTGTAAGTAACTCTGGACGCTACAAGTGGGTGGTCAGCAACACTCGTAACATGAGTCGCATGCTCGCCACCCATCCTATTTAATTTCTATATTTAGATAAATTTACAAGCTTTATAATATAAAACACAAGATAAATTTGTAGTTTAAATCGCCACGTTACACTCATAATGTAATTGCAACATTCAGATTATTTAATTTCTAGGTAATGAAATACTATAATTTCTCCATCACACTATTATTCCTGGATGACATATACTACAGTTAAATACTCACGAAGTACCTTAAACAATATAACTAAAACATGAATATAAGTCATTTAACCAAATTTACCTAGATTAATATGAAAGGAAATCACGGTGCTAGGTAGACTCAGGACTCTCACAAAAGAGACCTTTTGAACGCAATTTGGCTTAGAAAATATAGTAAAAAAGCAAGTGGTGAACTGATCAATTGATTCATTAGTTGGGAGTGTCGATGAGAATTGCTTGCAGGGAAGTGAAATATGAATATAGAAATGGATTATCAGCTCAATAATCAACATTTAATTTGTCTTTCCAATGTACCTAAAGACTAGAAAAATCTTAGAATTTTTCACTTTAATTATGTACTCGCATTTAAATTGAGAATTACATTCAATGCATCTTCAATTCAAGTCTTGAGTCATATGCTCGCATTCATCCTTACTCAAATTTTCCCTTACACTTTTGCCTGAGTTCGACTCGGCATTCACCGGTTAACATGAGAAAAATCTATTATTTGATGAAAAGGTTTTGGCCTACAACACGACAATCTGACACACTAATGCAGTACACTTCTCATACTATATCCATTACCAAAAGCCAATTTTCAATCATCAAATTTGTGGCGCCTTTGCCAGGTTCTTTGTTCTAGGGATATATATTTTATGATAATTATTGTAGTTTAGAAGACATATTCCAATTCTAATTGCTAATTGTGTGTTATTTATTTTGGAAGGGACCTCAAGAAAGAAAGTATTTCACAACTTATTTGCTCGAACTTAGCGAAATCTTAAAAGAAACTCAAGGAAACAAGATATGGCGTATGAAAAGAATGCATGTATTCCTCGTATGTTGTATGTCCTTAAGTTAGAAGTTGCTCCCTAACCACCTGCTATCAATGTTATTCTGATTCAAACAGTGTAAACTACGCAATAGGCAATGAATGAGTTAAGGGATCATGTCCTCATAGTGGAACAAGCACAAATCCTTCAGAATCAAGCTTTTTACAACGGTTAGCCACTTATATCCAATGGTAATGCACAAGAACTTCATAATGGAGCTAGAAATCCGCAGTCCCCGTGTGATAATGTATCATAGATGTGCATTATAAGGCATTGCTAGATGCAACCAAGCCCCTTAATGATGCCCCAAATCCGCAGAAATTTTAATTTTAAGCCAGCTCTAATCTCATTGGTAAACAAGGATTCTTCTAGTAGCTTGAAAAAAAAGTCCTTACGATCATCCGTAACAAAGTCGACACAAAAAACTATTTTGCTCGAAAAATGGGTTTTAGTTACGAATATTTTTGACTGCTACAAAAAGACCTTTTTTTGGTAGTGAAACCTTCGTCAAAGTTTGCTCAATTTTAAAGTTCAATAGAGTATCGGATGATGAAGCTAAGCTTACTCTATTCCTATTTTCACTCCATGAGGAAGCTCGCAAGTGGATTAACTCTGTTCCAGCACCAGCCACCTTTGCAGAGATAATTCAGCAAATTTTTTCCTGTTTTCATCTTGCTAGTAAGACCGCATAAACAAGACTAGAAATTTCTCAGTTTAAACAATGAGCAGATGAGACTTTGCCGCAAGCCTGGTCGCATTTTTAAATCTATTCTCCGCAACTGCCTGCATCATGAACTTTCAGACCATCTGGAGATTCAAAATTTTTTTACTCGGGTAGATGTTCAGATAAGAGCAGCACTAGACTCAACTGCTGGCCACTCTTTAATGAGTCGAGGTGCGATGGATGCATTTAAAATTATTGAGAAAATGTCTGCCAGTAGAAGCAACTGGCCATAAGTATGTCGCCCAACAGGGAAGGGATTATATTAGGTATCTGATGTCATTGCTAATGAAGCCAAATTTGATAATCTTAGCATGCAGTTCAAAGAGCTAACAAAATTCATTAAGAAAAATCAACTCAATCCAAAGAAAGATCAACTGATAGAAGTAGCAAATCAAGAACAAACAGGGGAAATAAATGGGAAGCCACAAGTGCTAGCTGAATGTGAGCAGAAATTAGAAACTGTATGGTATGCAACTACTCAACAAATTCCATATCAACACAGAAAGCCTCAGCATCAGAATTTCTAGTAGCAATACGACCCGCAATACCATCAACCGCAACATCACTATCAAGGAAAACCACCGCTAGCTCAAGGAGGACCTTGTCCACCCTACTGCATCCATAACAACACTCACAAGCTTTGTACTACAATCCCCCCCAGCACCACCAAAACCAACCGTAGAAGCCCTTCATCCTGCAAATTCCATCTTTAGTTGCTTTCAAGATGAAGAAAAAAGTACAAGACAGCATGCAATTTCAAAAAAACACAGCCTTCAGAACAAAGTTGCTAGAAAAATAACTGATATAGGTCACCGAACAATTAAAAGTCAAAATACCGGGCAATCTACCCTGTATTGTGGACAAAAAACCAAATGAGTTTCAAAGGCAATCGATATAAGAAGTGGCAAACAGCTCCCGAATCCATATCAAGGTAAAGATTCTTCCTGAACTCCTATTAACATAATGCATTCTCCCACTAAGGGATTAATCGTGAACACACAAAGGAGAAAAAATCTGAGAATGAAAAAGACGAGGTTGGAAATTCACAAGTATCCTCAAAGATATTCTCGTGAATTTTGTACCCCTAGCCACTCAAGCAAAAATAAAGAGATAAGAAATTCATTAAATTTGCTAAAATATTTGAATAATTACACATCAATAATCCTTTTTCCGATGCATTATTACATATTCTAGTATACTCTAAATTTCTAAAACGCATTCTGGCTAAAAGGCGAGCATTTCTAGAGATGGAGGCGCAATTCTATTAACAAAGGCATGCAACACAATTTTTAAAGGAGGACTACCAACAAAACTGGGAGACTCGGGACTTTTATAATTGTATGTACATTAGGAAATCTAGAATCTAAAACGACATTATGTGACTTACGAGCAAGTATAAATTTAATGTCATATTCATTGTACAAGCAATTGGGGTTGTATAAATTGATGCCTTAAAGAATTGAGATACAATTTACTCATAGAACTGTTATACTTCCGAATGGAATTGTGTGTTTTAATACTAGTGCATGAGTTTATTTTATAGGCAATGAAACATAATATATTTTGGATCGAGAACCACCACTATCTATACATATCAGAATCTATTAAGGTTTTTATAAGTTCTGAAGAACCACCAGCATTGTTTCCAAAACTACATTCATTTCAGGTGCTTTCATTCAAGAAAATGATATATTGTAGTTCGGGTGAAAGATAGTTTGTTAATATATTTAAATTAATATCTAAACAAAAAACTCAACTTCAAACACAAAAACAAACTTTAATATATATATGTTAATATTATTCATACATTTATACATTTTGATTTATACATATATATATATGTTTATATACATATTCAGGGCCATGAGAGTGGGCCCAGATGGCCATGGCTGCCAATAGTAATATAAAATCAACCAACAAACCTAGAAAACAGAAACTAGTAATTTTAAATGCTTCAATACTTTCCTAGCAATTGTAATTAGTAACAATAATAGTTTGTGACCTTTAACACAAATATATTTTTCAACAGTAATCACTTCTTTTTTATTGTCATTTTTCTATTTTTTTTTTATGCATATAATAGTATACATAAAAATATTTGTGGTGTTATATATCATCTTCATTAACAGTAGTCAATTTTACGTCATTCTTCTACAAAGTGACAAATAAATCTAGCAGCAATAAGATAGATGATGATTTGTGTCTTGCAACAATCCACCAAAAAAATCTTTACAGCAACGGCCAACATGTAATATCCCATAACTTTATTATTTGCGTGCTATCCTTAGGCTTTGTGTGCACAAACAAGACAGGACTGGTGCCGTCTTGGCTACTCTCGTCCTCCATCTTCATAAAAAAACTATGCCTGTCAATCACAGAAAATATTCAGCGACCAAAGGATAAAGGGATCGAATAGCTTCAGAAAACATTAGCGTTCACTTCTGCTTAAGGATAAGAAATAGAGATACAGACAGACCGTTGGGTCGGAGCCGAGTCCGACGAGCTATTTAGCCCCTCGACCCAAGCGGGCGGCGATGGAGAGCACATCTCCATTAACGATGCCAGAAGCAATGGGGAAGACGAATCTCGAAAGCCAATAACGAGAAACGCTTTGTGCTCGATTTCGCTCCGGCTCCCCATGAATTTCTCCATCCATGGCCCCACACATAGGCTTCTTCGACTTGCATCTAGAAATCACCGACCGTGCTTTGTGCAGTTTCTTCTCGATTTCCCCTAATTCGCCCCTTTCGGAAGTGCGCAGCGCCCTCTCCCCCAACACAGAGTATCCGCCGAGCACCGCCATGTCCTTGAGCGTCAGAGTAGCTTCTCCCCAGGGAAAAATGAAGGAGTTGGTAGTCTCGCACCATTTTTCAAGGAAACCGAAGAGCAGATCCTTGTTTCGGTGTATGGTGATTGTGGAGCTCATTATAGAGGAATGAGAAGCGGTTGCCAGCAAGTTTTCCTGCTTTATCGCAATGATTTTTACAGCCACAACACTTTCCTGGTAAACAGATTTAGCAATACCAAACCAGCCATAAGTAGGTAAACAAAATTTACAAATTCATAAGAAACCTTTATGAAATACAAATCACCTTTATGAACTATCGGAAGTTTGATTTTTTGATTTTGATTTTTGTTTTAGATTTCGATGTGGATGAGCAGATCTCACTTTATTATGGATTGAAGATTTTATTACGAAATTGAGTAAAAATAATGAACTAGTTTTGGTTTTTGTAGGCTCAACTCCAAACCAACTCGAAAACACAAAATCGACACAAACACACCGAAAAACGCGATGAACACAAGTACACTGGCCTATTACCTACGACACACAAGAAATATAACCCCCACAAACAAAGAAACAAAGTAAACAGAAGCCTACACGTTGAGAGAGCCCCTTGCGGCTCAAATCAACAACACGGGTAAAAAATATGCCAAGAAGCTCCACAGATAAAGAGGAAGACAACTATCGAAGAGCCGCCGACAAATCGTCTCCAGAAAGTGGTGCAAGAGATAGACGAGATGAGAGGCTAGAGAGGGAAAGTTATAAAGAGAAGATTATGAAAGTGAAGTGAGGGACGGCGGTCTTTGTCATCTCTATTATAGGTTAAAAAGGGATGGACGGCCACGATCTCAACCCTAGATTTGACGGTTGAGATCTAGTTTAATAAAAGGGACGCGGGTCAAAACAGGCGGGTCAGGTGGTTCGGGTCGCAGGTTCACGGGAATGGGTGAAGCAGCGGGTCACAGGCCAAGGTAAGTAAGTGGATCGTGGGCTTGTGTCATATGTCTGGGCCCAGGTGCACTTTGGCTGCGAGAATGAGTGTGTTTGTGTATTATATGGGATGGATCCATTTGGACAAGAAATCCAACAAACACACTTATAAAATAGTAGAGAACGTTTGTTTTAGGTTTGGAAATTGTTGTTGTTGTTGTTGTTTATTTTATTTCATTTTTTATTTAGGGCTTTAAAGATCTCATGTTGTAGAATTGAGGGATTTTGGTCACTTTTGTACGCTAAAAAATTGATATCAAGTTGTATTGATTTCAATTGTGATATAGAAATCAAATTTTACTTTTGAACAAAAAAATAATAAAATATATACCTTAAGAACACCGGAAAGAGAGTATAATATCAAAAAGTTTTAAATTCCAAAAGAACATGAAATATCAAAAACTTTACTTATGGAGAAGTCTTGAATAGAAAAGCTATCAAAAATTTTACTTATGGGAGAAATCTTGAATAGAAAAGCCATTGCACATGCTCTAACAAAACCCAAAATATTTTACTTTTCAAAATGGCGATGGCAAGCCAAATATAAAATACGGAACTGTCAATTTTATCTTTTAAAATACGTAATCACTATCAATATATTAATTATTAATAACATGTGACGGCTATCAATTACCGTCAGGCCAACTGCTGCTTTTAAGGTGCTTATATTATAAAACTGTCAACACACTACTTATTTTTCCTATAGCCGTAGGATCAGATTTAATGATCCATCCAATGAATATCAATAAACAAGGATAATATTGTAAATTTGAATAGAAAAAATTTTAGTAAAAATTTTAATTTAAGTAAAGGAACCTAGTAAAAAAAAAAAAAGAGTAACATTGCATTAATTACAAACATTAATTATGAATCTTTATACAAATCTTGATCATGCTATATATCTATCCATATTTTATACACACGCTATTCATAAGTTCATGATATAATTTTACTCTATGTGGTGTATGTTGTACATGTTATCTATAGTATTAAAATATATATATATTATCTATGACAAATTATGATAAAATTGAAATACTTTTGGTACTATTTTTAATTTAAGTAAACAATTTAATTCTGAAAATGAATCGATATTATATTAATTACACACTTATTATAGTTACGAAAATTAGTATTAATTATGATTCTAAATATTTTCCAAATTTTCATCATATTATATTGTGATATCGGCAATATATACACATTTTATTCGTAATTTCCTAATATGTTTCTATATATATGGTATATGTTGAACAAGTTATTGATAGTACTCCCTCGCTCGACCACCAATTTTTCCACATATTTTTTGCGTGTTAATATTTGAATATTAATTATTATATAGTATGTGTGGGACTCCAAATTATATTGCAATCTTATCTTCGACATACACCCGGTTCTTGTTTCATGTGTTGTCCTTAATCTCGTATCTTTACAAGATGTGCTTACATCCTCTGAAATATTTTTCTAAGCTTACTATATCAAGCATGCTCCTTGTCTTGAATTATTCCTTATTGCAACAATAATCAATATATTGTATAAATTGTAGATCATTTTTCAATTTTTTTTTTCATCTTGGTATGTGTTGAATATATCCCACATTGGAAAAATGTGGAATCCCCCTTTGGCTTATAAGGGTGAAGGCCACTCCGCCTATCACCGATTAGTTTTAGGTTGGAAGCCCAAATCTCTTCTTAAAATAATATCAGAGCCGTGGTACCCGTATTGGGTGGATTAAAAAAATTATTGCAAACATATATGTCTGACTGCACTATGTAATCCGTTACTATAATTGCAAACATTTTGCAAGCTTAAAAAAAAAAATATTCTTCTTAACAAAGAAAGTATTCTTAAAATATTTTTTTTCATGAAAATTTTTACCATTTTTTACATTGGCCATTGTTTTTCTAGACATTTTTCTCTCAACCATCGGTTCGATCATTTTTTGCCATGTGAAGGAGATGAATAAATTTTAGAAGACATGCAGCTAAATCCTTCTGTTGCTTATGACCATAATGCTTTTGCATCACCCTCAAAGGCAAGTAAGCTTATAAATACAATTTGGAGGTGGTTGTTTATAATATATGCTAAAATATATTTCACAGTTTTAGATAGCATATTCCTCTATGGTTTACATCATATATTGCTTATATGGAAAGCATGCTAAAAATCATAAATTCTTTTTGTTATTGGGAAAGAGGCATAATTAAATATTTTCATAATTACTATAATATATAATTATATTTTAATCCCTAACTCCAATCTCGATATAATCTTGAGATGTACGGCACAAATCATATCAGCATATATCACTACCAAAAAATTGACTTTTTGTAGCGCCTAAACTGCCCGTAGCAATAAGTTCGTTACAAAAAGAAGTTTTTGTTGCAAAATTAATCGATACAAAAAGTTATTTTCGGTAGTCAACTTTTTTTTTCTTTGCTTCGATAAGTTATCCGTAACAAATACATATAGGACAATATGTCATCCTATATGTCTTTGTTACAAAATTCAAACCGTAATAAAAAGTCAATATTTTACTTATAATAAAAATAGAAAAATTCATATAAAATTATTTTGAAATTTAAGAAAAAAATAATCATTTGTTTTGATAATTATCCGTAACAACTACGTATTAAACGAAATATTATCCTAACTAATTATATTTGTTATGCACTTTAGATTGTAACAAAAAGATTAACCATATAATTATAAATAAAAATTTAAAAAACTATATAAATATATTTTAAAATTCAATAAATAAATAAATAAATAAAGTTACTAAAAAAGTATACTAAGACAAAATTCACATCGATTCGAAAGGGCTTTCCCCTAAATTGATTCTTTCCCATCTGCAGACCCCAATCGACGGTGCCCTCGACGGCTCGACCATCTACTCCTCTTCCTCTCACCACCGTCCAATCGTCGGCGACACTTCAACAGGTCAACGCTGCACCACCGCTCCCCCTTACCATCGCGACTGCCTCTGCCCAAACCCGATGCCCCACCACCCCCAGCCGTGGAACGCCGCCCAGACCATCTTCATTCCACCACCACTTGTCACCGCGACGACAGCCTCTCCATCCACCATCGTCTCCTGGACCGAGCTAAGGCCACCGCGAACCACCCCCTTACTTCTCAGTCTCCACCACCGTGGCCGCGTCTTCGCCCAGCCCAACAAATCCAACCGATGCCGTCATCTCCTCCTCTCATTTAAAATTGTTTGTTTGTTTATTTTTCTATCTTCCCCTTCAACTGATTATCAGGTAAAATTGTTCCAATTGTACTTTATTTATGAACACTAATTTTTGTGAAATTTCTTTTTTTTTTCCCCTCTTCTCAGTCACGATTATAAGGTTAATTGTTCTTATTGTGTTTGATTTAAGATTGGTATTGATTTTTAAGGAATTTCAGCCTGGTTAGAATATTGGTGTGATATAGGGGCATGTAGTTAGTTGCTTTGGACTGATACTGCCTAAGTGACAACTTCGAATTGAATTTAGTTTTTCTTGGGAGTTCTTGTTCTTGTTTTGTGGTTTCTAGTTGATGTTTTGTGAAATCAGCTTATTTTTAGGCACATTCGATGATTTGGATTGATATTTCATAATGATAGGCATTGTTAATTCTAACTTGAATATAGTCTTCTTCTTTGACTTATTGTTTGTGGTTGCAAAAAGTTTTGATGGTGGATTCAAATATGAAACCTTTTGAGCTTAAATTAAACTTTGACTTAATTTTTGTGAGGTAAATTGTCTTTGTTGGGCTTAATTTGAGGTTTACTTTCGAGGTTGGTATTGATTTTTATAATGGAATTCAATTTCCTTTCTGCTAGCTGGTATGAGATTGTTGTCTATTGTTTTTTGAATTTCTATTGATATAATGAAGTGAATAAGCATTGGTGGTGACTCGAGTGTTTCCTTTGGAATCCATTTTGTATAGTTTTTAGGTGTTTCTGTATTAAATAAATCACAATGAACAATTATTTCGAGGATCCTACAGAGTAATGATAGGATGATGGCTCTTCTTAAATGAATTTAAAGGCTTTGAAATAATATATGATTTTCTGCTTAGCTCTGTGAAAGAAGAACTCTTCATTGTCTTCCCATTTCTAGGTGAAATTTGTTTTTTTAAATGGTTAGAAAAAAAGTGAGTAATTGCAAACACACTTTTAATGATTTTATGTTTTCTAGTTTTCTTTTATGGAAAATGCACAAATGAAGTATCCTTTTTATTTTTTATTTTCGTTATGAAGAGTTTTTATATAATTTTGCACTAACTTATTAATAGTTTACATTTAGTTTTGCACTTTTAGTTATTCCTCTCTAAAATTCCAGATGATGATTTTATATATTGTTTGAGTTGTTGTATGATATATTGGCTTATAGGCTGTTCTCATTTACGATTTTAGTTAAATTAGATTGTGCTATACCTAATGATTGCAATGTGCTTTATTTCGATCGATGTTGAAATTAGTTTTAGCCATTGCCCTTGCGCTAAATATGTTTGGTTAAATGTCTTTTAGTTGTTGTTGCATTTTGCTTTGGGAAAAATTAAAAGCTACTCATGACTTGTTGTTTGGTTTAACTGTAGTTCCTCTTCGGTGTCAACTGCAAATGTTCGAGGGCGGACAAAAATTCAAATGTGAGGAAATTATGATTAGCCCCAATAATAAAACTTCTCAGCTTACAGGCGTTCATCTTTAAAGGGGAGTATGTATGGCTATTTATTTCTAATATTGGCTATGATAATTCGTGTTGTAGTTATTTAGACTTAGTGTAGTCTAATCTGTATTTTGCATCCTACTAGCATTGTAAGTTCAACTAGATTAGTTTGTTAGATATTAGAGTAGTAAGTAATTTAGTATAGATGAAATACTCCGATTTTGGAATGTATAAAATAATATTATTATCGAAAATAAATATTTTTATAATATTTTGGGATCAAGAAATTAATATTCAGGAATAAATCTTATTCCTATTTTATATATTGATTATGATTGAAATGACTGTTAAACGGATAAATATAATAATATAATATATATAATAATATAATAATAATAAGTGATGATAATGATGATATGGATGGACGATGATAATAATATTAATAATAACTTTTACTAATAATAATAATATAATATAATATATAATAATAATAATAATATAATTATATATATAAATCAATCTTACCTGCGAAGGAAGGAAGCAGCCGAAACGCAGGGAAAGAAGAAGAAAAAAGAAAGAAAGAGAAAGGAAGAAAGAAAAAGATTTAGCCGTTCGATTTTGATTTCGATTTCGGTATTGTATTCCTTGTTATACATAGAATTTAATTATGAATTTTAATATGAATTTAGATATTGAAGATATTAAATTAGAAATTCTTCAAAAAATTCATAACCGGCTATTTGGCTATTTAATCGACTAAGTTCTTTAGCTAATAGCCTATTCGTAGTCCTAGCATTATATTTTGAGAATTTCATATCGATCCGAGTCGAATTGAAAACGGCAGTGTATTGCACCTGTCTGTTTATTCATATCTTTAAGTATTTTTATTTAATAATCGGGCGATATAAATAGTAGGAGGTATAAGAGTTTTATAGCTAGAATATCGTATTCTACTAAATATAAAAGTTTAAAACCCAACGAGCTAATTATAGAAATTAGCTTTTGAATAAGCAGGTAGCTCCTATGAATAAGCATATAGCTCAGCTGATTTGAGTAGATAATGGGACAGGTGTACGTTGGAGGAGATTTGGGTCAGATTGCAAAAGCTAAGGAGTGTTGATAAGAGGTAAGCTGTAGGGAATTAAATCTAATTTTAAGAAATTAGGTATGCATGTTGCATGCGATTCTGATTAATATGTTAACGTGATATTATGTGAATCATTTTGTCAGTGCATGTATAAATTTATATATATGTGTGCGTATGCATGTGGGAGACTTCACGGTTCATGATATTTGATATACGTATTTGATCGTGTAGGTGAATTTATGAAAAGGTGGATAGGTGAGCTATCTCACTAGCCCTTTTCGGTAAATTCACTTATTTGACATGATGCACACATATTGCACGGTTTATCGGATATGTTTTATGGATCTATCGTTTAGTCGCCGTGTGCGGTAGTGCTAGGCAAGGGCATCATCTGGGGTTAGGATATTCGACCCCGATGTACCGTAACACTTTGGCGATAGTGGACAATAGTAGTCGGACAACTGGGTGACTTAGTCGCACGGTCATTCAGGGATTAGACCCATTGTAGTTGAGACGTATTCGGTCTAATCATTCGTGTTCGGTGGTGTTCCACTTCATTGGAGTAGCTACTAGTGAGGTCTACCGGTAGTTTAGGATCATATGCCAAACTCCAAACGTGATCCCATTAGGGCACGCAAGGAGGAGTAGAGTTTCCGAGTTTTCCCTTGGGTGATTCCAGGTTGCACGGATTCTACTACATTACACGGGATAGGGCTAGTCAGTGGGGGTCCTATCTTCGCTATCACAGACTATGGGGCGTCTTGTGGTTAATGGCGACAACGTTCGGCTATCCATGTATTGATTGTGGGAGTCGTATGGCGGGTATATGGGAGTGACCGGATGACCGTTATATTATTATGGGTTTATTAGGTCCTTCCTTGAGCCGAGAATTTTCCGGCTATTTATTGATGATGGTCTGGTGAGCTTGTTATTACGAGGCCGAGGGTATTCCGGCTGCTCACTTAGACAGATGTAGTGAGCCTATGATTATGGAGCCGAGGTTATTCCGGCTGCTCACTTCGGCGGATGTATATATATATATATGTGGATGTGCATTGTTGTCGAGTTTGATATCTTTATTGCATCATTTCACTATTGGCATGACATGACACGTATTTTATGATTAACGGGAATTAAACTTTATTTTAAAAAGGTATAAAATGACATATTTCACGTAGTTCTTAAAATGGATTTAATTCTAGACTGCTTTTAAGAAAATATTTGTTTCAAGTATGCATGACACATCCGAGATAGGGGACGTCTCGGGATATAGAAAGACGGGCTGAGTGAGTGAACTTACATCTATTGTATTATATGTAAATTTTTAACCGAAAAAACCTCTTGTTAAGGGGTGTGTTTTGTAAATATTTATAAATCAGATTTTGTTATATAATAATGTGCTTTTATTGTTAATTTTAGCCTTAACACTGTATTGTGGGGCCCGAAGTAGAAGATGACGACATCATGATGCAGTGTGGCGGTAGCATTTCTAGTATGAGCCAACTGGTGGTGTTATAATAGATTCAGCCATGCTATGTTAGTATTTGGTTTCGTTTTGGCCTTCTAAGTTTAGTCCTTAGCCTAGCATTAGTTCTCTCATTACTTCAGTTAGTTGTAGCCATATTTGTTAGATAGTTTGCAAGTAGTTTAATATTAGCATAGGAGAAACTAGATTTAAGTCAATATATAGCTTACTTAATTTGATTAGTGTAACTCTGTATAATTTTGTCTGCTGCTATTGTAGGAATAATTAGTCAATCTAGTTTACTTTTTATTTCTGTTGCCGTCTGCTGCATATTTTTGTTGTGTGACCTTGTTTGGTTGCTAGTTGTTCGATGTATAATCCTTTTATATAGAAGTATAGTAGTTGTTGTTGGTTAGTGATAGATATAGTTATGTTGTTAGGTTCATTTTCTGAGTCCTTAGGATATTGTAGTCTAATAGTTTAGCTAGTTGTTCGTATAGCTCATTGTTGCTAACCACTTTAATTGTGCTTGCCACCATGGATGATTTGCCGGTATAATCTACAAACATACTTTTGGTTTGTTGGAGTTTTGCTTCAATGCTGCATTAGGTTGTCTGTAATTTATAACTTGCGATTTAGGCAATGTTGATCTTTTAGCCTACTAATTTGTTATAGCATAATTTTACTTAGCTTGCTCTGTTGTATGGAATTATTTTCATTGTAGTAATTGTTTATAAGTTTGTGGTTGTTTGATCTCAAATTTGTAGTTAGGACAGTTAGCTGACTTATATGTTCCACAAAATTTTTTATCCTTGAACAAATTTTTCCCTTTATTTTATATGTTTGTGTTGCAATCATGCTCTAGTTCCAAATATTCCATGTAAAGAAATATTTGAGGCCATTTAATTGTACGTCGTGAAATGGACATAAAATGGATCCTGTGTAAGATTGTTATATCTAGCATCTTGTTATATCGTTGTAGGGCATGTCTATTTGGGTTTAAGGTAGTTGTATGGTTGAACGTTATTTGTAGAGCTTGATTGTTGGTTACTTGGTTGCTATTGGAGAGCTGTGTTTCTTTTTTTTTTACTGAAGGATTGTCCATCTATGATCGTGGTGATTTATAATTATTAGTATATGTGTAAGGGGAGTTGGTCCCTATGGTCTATGTTGTGTTATTTATTTTCATAATGTTCAGGGGTCAACCTATTTTATTAGTGCTTTTCGAGTTTATTTGTTATTATACTTGTATTTAAGATAGGGTCCCTAGATCAAGCTAGAGCGTAAGTTTTATTTTATTATATTCATCCTCGTAACTAGCGCTCGTTTAACCTATTTATATAGGTGATGCCCTATATTTTTAAGGTGTATGTTACAGCTGTAATGGTCCCGGAGACCGCACTTATCCTCCCAAATAATGCTGAAGCAAAAATTCTCGGTGATGTACTCAACGGATATAATATCGAATGGATTTACCAGGATGTACGCAATTTTTTATTTACTTTATTCTTTTGGAAATTAAATTACTTCGATTTATGTAATAAATGCTTATATATTATTAAAAACACATTGCAGTTGGTTCACCGCCCGTGATTGCAGCCTCCATCATTCTGCACTCGACTAGCTGGGTCATTCATAGTAGTGTTTATAAGTTGCCCTTAAGATCGTACTTCCGTATGATATCAGAATTATCTATTTACGTATTAATTTTGGGTTTTGCGCATCGTTATTTAGGAGGTTGTTATGTTGGTGTACGGATTGTTGTTTTGTCAGGATGTTTTGTTAGCACCGTTGACAACTAATATTTTATTTTTGGCTGGACTATGAACATCATTGTATTGATGACCATGTGTAGTATTTTGATGGATTTAGAAACAATTATGATAAGATTAAGTTTTAAATTATTTCTCGCAGATTAATAATACAGACAAATGGAATTTATTTATGGCGACAAAACTACAATGCCACACAGGGACGTCTTTTGTAGCGTATTTTTAGTTACGGATAGTGGCCGATACAAATGGTAATGAATGGTTGTCTGACTTTTGTCATGATTTTTTGTTGTGGAGGGGGCAGTCTTTTCGTAATGTATTGTTGTTACAGACACATCTTGTAACAAGAAGTTTTCTGACAAGATTAGACATTTGTAACGCATTTCTTGATTCGGACATATGTCGTAACAAATATTTTTCTGACAGTATTCAACTTTTGTTCCGCAGTATTTTTGTCGGATATTTGTCGGTTCAAAAACATGATTGATGTTTTTGTTACATACCAAAAAATGTAACAAAAATAATTAACACGTGCTTATTTTGAGAGTTGACCACCTAATATTTGTTACGGATTTTGTTGCGACACGAACTTTTTGTACCACGATTTTTCGTAGCGGTCATAATCCATAACAAAGTCAACACAAAATACTATTTTGCACGAAAAATGGGTTGTAGTTACGAATATTTTATCATTACAAAAAGACCTTTTTTTGGTAGTGATAGTATTGATTCTAGTAATCAGCACTATACAAAAAATTATTGTTATGCATAAAGTACCGAAGTTGATAACAAAATTATTAAACAGACGTATAAATGAGAAAATAGATATAAATATAACAGAAAGCTTTTAATTATCACTACAATAACGAATTTTGCAGGTTAACATGCATACAAATTATACACTCAACCAACAAATCACAACATGCTCTAGTCCTTTGCAGTTTGAGTGAATATTGGGTATCTATTTTAATTTGTTTGTATATTCATCTTCTCCAAAATTCTTCTCTTATTTCTGTTCTTGAACCCTTCCTGCAAATTCAGTCTTTCCAACTTGCCATTTCGTTCTTCCTTCCCAATGTCTTCCTTGGAGGAACGGGTAAAGCCTCAATTACAGCTCCACAATTTTACTGTTCCGCTACACCTGCAGTGTAAGAAGAATAAACAGCATGCCTCCGCTCTGATGAGCAAAGAAGACGTGGAAGAGGATATCTTTTCGATGACTGGAGGGAGGCCCTCCTGGCAACCCAAGAAGAGGCCAAAGCACCTTACTATTATTATATAATGTTCATATAATATTGGTGCCCTAAATGTTCGTTTACATAGTTGTTCAACAGATTTTTATTTTATTTTTTTAGTTCAGTAAATTCTCTTTTTACATTCATTTATTAGCAATTTATGTATTTTGTGTGCACGTTGAAGTATTGGAACTGTTAAAATAATAGTTATGATAGATATGTGTAGTTTCATACTTATATGTATATTGGACGAGATGATACTCCTATATATTACAAGTATAACACACTCAAAGAAACTAATATAATTGAAAAATACAGACCAAAATATATTTTAATATTTTGCGAGTTGGGTAAATGTAGATATTATTTTAATATGTATTCATTTTCACATTCCTACTTTAATTTCCAATTTAAAACAAACATTTTGATTATACTGCATCTATCATCTAATTGTATGTGGTCAAATATTTGGACACCAATTTTAATATAAATAGTAATAATTATTACTTTTTGATTTTTATACTAATTAGAAAATACAAAAAATATACATACTGTTTTTATACAAAGTAATTTAGAATATTTTTTTGTAACCATCCAAACCATAAATTTGAATGATGGTGATAGTATATATCTAAAAACATTATTTCAATAAATTATCGAACAATCTCCGTAAAAAATAATATAGAGAAGGTATGCGTGTAATAATAATAATAATAATAATAATAATAATAATAATAATAATAGAATGTATGTATGTTATAGAAATCATAATAATAAGAAAGAGAAGAAAAACAGGTAAGTGAGTGGTGAGGAGTATAAGTAATATCTTCACCACTTCATCATTTCACTGCAATTTTCAATTATCTTATTATAATCAAATCTTCTTATATCTGTGGTGGTTCAGTGATGGCACCATCCGGCGATCACCAAAAGAGAACCTCCGCTGCCAGAGACATCCGCGCAATAAAACGGAGGGCAAGTCAGTCCTCTCTCAGGAAAATGTGAACGAGAAGAGATCTGGTAGTCATTGAGACCTGTGCTGCAGAAGGACCCAAAACTAGCAGATGACACCTATGAAGAAGTGAAGACTTGGAACCTGAGGCCCCGTAAGCTGATCGGAAAGAACATAGTGCTGAGCATTACGGTCCCTCTGAAGAGGCTGAAGCACCTTCAGAATCACATTGACATAGGCACATATACAGATTCTTAATTATTCGTAGATTTCATAACATCCATTGCCTTATTAGGGTACATACAAGGTAAATTTTTAAACTAAAAATTATATATATTAATGTATCATCATTCAATGTAATCAAATTTTGGTAATTAGTTCGTTTGATATGATTGTATGATGATGATTATATATATGTGGGCAGATTTAGATGAAGCTAGTCTAGTGTAATCTTATGCTTTAGGGGATAGAAAAGGGTTTGAACACATTTCTAAAATAGTAGAGAACTTTTGTTTTGGATTTGCAAATGGTTGTTGTTGTTTAGTGTCTTTCTTTTTCTTTATCTTTTTTTTTTTTTTTTTTTTTTTTTGAAAGGGTTAAAAGATCTCTGTTGTAGAATGGAGGGATTTTGTGCATTTTTTTATGCTAAAAAAATTGATATCAAATTGTATTTATTTCAATTTTGATGTAAATATCAAATTGTACTTTTGAACAAACAAAAATAATAAAAAATATACCTTAAGAACACGGACGAGAGAGAACAATATTAAAAAGAAAAATAAAATAAATTTGTTTCATCATAAAATTTTAAAATCCAAAAAAGAGCACGAAATATCAAAGAGCTTTAGTTGATGGAAGAAGTCTTTAGAAAAGCCACTGCTGCACATGCTCTAACAATATACGTTATCTCTATCAATATATTAATTATTTTATAATTATAATCCATAAAAAAGAACAGGCCTGGATCAGTATCTTGCTCAACGAAGATCTTGCAATCAAATGCTCAAAATGAAATGACAAAAGAGTATTTTTATAGTTACAACGTGTCATTTAGCAACAAAAAATAATTTCATTGCTACAAATAAATTATCTACTGCAAAATTAATTTCTTTGCTAAAATTATTTTGCTAGAAAATTCTATCTTCGTAACAAAAAAGTTTTTGCTACAAAATTATTTTTCATAGCTAAAATTATTAGCTAAAACAATCATACATATTTCATTGCTAAAACTCTTTTGTTATAAATTTTAATTTTATAGCAAAAAATCTTTATTTACGAAATTATATTTTTGTAACTATATCTCTTATCTTAACTTTTATTGCAAAAACTTATATTATGTTACGAAAGTCATATTTATTATCAAAGACCTTTACTAACGAGATATAAGAGACAAAATGAGTTTCGTCGCAAAAATATTTTTGTTATGAATTATTACCTTTTTGTACGAAGTTTTTTTAGCTAAAACTTTTTTGTAGTGTGAGCAAATCCTTTCACCTTCTCTGGTCAGCCCAGCCTTACAGCAGCCCATAAGAGTAGGTCTGGTGACGTGGGGAGCAATTTTGTAGGAGGAAAGTCAAATACCCGTGGAGAAGGTCTACAGAGAAGCAAATTTTTTCACCTTCTTGGGCCTAGCTGCTCTATAAGAGTAGGTCTATGTGTGGACTCGATCAAAAAGGTCACGTGGGGAACTTTTTTGTAGAAAGAATGTCAAATACTTGTGGATAGAGTCCAAAGATAGGAAAAGATCCCATGTAAAGCAACCCGAAGCATGTGGCCCAAGGCCCAACAGCTTCTTGGCCCGTTTATCCGCTTGGCCTATTGTCTATAGAGGCCCAATCTGGTTTGAAGGCAGCCCAAACCCATTTACCTCAAACTTATTTTCGTAAGATATAGAGAGTGAGGTGTGGGAGTTAGTTATTGGTGTGGTGAAAACCGATTCAAGATGTGCGGTTGAGGATCCGATAGAGTGAGTGAGGGCGAGATCGTTAGAGAAGAGAGGGTGAGGTTTCTTGGACGACTTCCGGCATGTGATTCTGGTGAGAGTCAAAAGCAGATCGGAGTCGCTGGAGCGCCGCCAGTCGGATCTGCCTGGAGTCGCTGTCCAGCCGCGCCGTGACGGTGGATTGCTGGTGTAAGAGCTTCTGTCCGCTGCCTCCACTGTTGGAGATCAGCGCCACGCAGTCACCGGGGAAGACAATGTGTTCATCGCCGGAACCTCGCTGCCGAATAAGAAGATCTTCCGTCGGTGTTCCTTGTTGATTGTCCTCATCCAATCTGGATTCAAATAAATTACAAAATCCAAAAAGATCCGGGATATAAATTCAAAACAGTTCCTATAAACACTAGGCTAAATGTACTTTCAAAATAATATCATCAATGCTAGCGTTGGCTGCATAAGAGGTTGGCGGCGGTCTAACAGTGTCGATTAAGGGTAAGAAGATGGAAGGCGAATTGCTGGGGGCTTCACCATGGTGTGGAGATTTGAAAACCGAGAGACTGAAGGAGGAAGAAAGAGAGATGGGCGAGTTTGGTCAGGGTGGATGGGCGTGGTGATACGGATTTAGCTACGATTAAATTTGAAAAAATAAGGAATAACATGATTAGGAAGAAAATAGCAAAAAATATATAATTAGAATTTAAAAATTAATTTAAAATTTTTTTAAAAAAATTGAATAATTAAAAAGAAAAAGAAACGAAAAAAAAATATATATTTATGATTTAATTTTAAAATTTAAAATTTAAAATGTAATAATAATGAGATAATACTTTTAAATATGAGTCTCTCTTAGTTAGGGGCTCTTCTAAGAGCAGTCTGTGCTCATGTAGTATAGCACCTGACCAATATTACTTTGTTTTGATTGTATGGTATAAAATTCATATGTGGTTTTCCAAAAAGGCGCAAAATTCTCGTACTTTCAAAACTGTCGTCAAATCCC